CGAGTGTGCGTCATAGCTACGAATGAACTAACCCGGAGTTAATTGACCTCTGTCGGTCCGGTACGGAAGCGAATCACGTCAAGATGGATTGATAAGTCGGTCACCATGCCCAGACGTGAATGTGAGCATGATTCTTTGTGTGAGTGGAGTCAGTCTAAGCCCACAATAACCCAATGAGTAAATTCTGTTGAGACCGAGTTTCTCTCGAATAAAACCGATTCCTTTGAGTCAAATACGATTTCGTATGTATTTCTGACATTGAAATGCACACATCAAAAGATACTTAACACTGGTAATAATGGTGAAAGAAGTAACAGTATTTCACCTGAATAATAAGATCGAATTCGAATCTATTCACTAGCTAACATAAATCATGTTTTACTTTGTCATTCCCTATCTGAATATTGCATTCCATCCACAATGCCACTGGCAACAATCCGTTACCTGCGGCTTCTCTCTTCGCTACTCAGCTTCATCGCATAGGTTTTTATCTTTATTGTATCATTGCGCAACCCGTCGCATCTTTTCACATACTGGTTACGTTTGTGTGATCTTTATAGTTCAGTGAACGAGACTGGTGGTGATATGAATGAGTTACAGTTATCCAGCATCCCACAAGCGATGATAAATCCGTACCGGGTGATCCATATGGTATTAAGTAAAGGTCGGTAAAATATTCCACCCACGGTTCTCTTAATACTGAATGTTGAATAAGGAAAGAGGTTCAGTGGCACCGCGGATGCCACTTTGAAGTATATTTCCCGTATGTGTTACCACGAAAGATTGTGCAAACGAGCTACCTATTATAAAGTTGGAGAGCAGTGACATTTTTTCTACTCTGAACTTAGTTTGGTGGTGGTGTAGACATTTCACATTATTAGGCAACTTCTCTGTTGTCACTAGTGTCTTCCGGATTGTATTCATTCCGTTCTGAGCCAGCCCAGTTAGCAGTAAATAGTGCATTTTTCATAGATACGTGCCAGTTTTTATTTTAGCGGATTAAAACGGCTGATTTGTTCGCACGATTACCGAAAACTTAAACTTCAGTCAAACAAAATCTGTTCTGTCATCTTTCGTTTAGTCAATCTTGCAGTGAGCAATAACTGTGAGGTGCTTTTAACGAACAGCGAAAGGTCGAAACAGAGCGGTCGGCTTTCCGCACCAGATCCTCAATGGCAGATGATTTTGGGCATACACAATACGTACCCTAACCAGTGAGGCCTACCAGTCTGAATTTGATGAGTTAGCACCCCAATACATGACGACTTACCTTCAGAATACTTGTTCGCTTCATCCCGCTCGGGCTAAACTACGTAAACACAGATGATAAAATACATCTACGAAAAAATGGAATCGCGAACTAGGGTACTCTTGACGAACGCCGTTGCTGGTGACGAACTGCCTACTTAGTTCATTGTAGTCCCTTACTCAACCTGAGGTGAGTATAGCGATCTCAGTAAGTTAACCCAATGAAATTTACTCATTAGGATACTGATGGCCTAGACTGAATCCGCGCATGCAACTTTTCAACCATGGGATAGATCCAACTGGCTAATTGAGGTGTGGAGTACAATGGTTAACACCAAAATGAAGCTTCGAATACCGAGGTTCCTTGAAAATTGCGTTACTCGAAGGCGGTAAATAGATTGTGTCACGGGATACTTTGTTTTCATAAAAGTATCAGGTAAGTAAACTCATCTAGCAATAACGATCATATTTTTTACAAGTAACCTAAATTACCAATCTTCCGCCTTCTCTTAGCAACTATAACATAGTAGCTTATTAATAAGCCTACGGACTATTGTTGCCAACATAAACCCTTTTGACGATTGTATTGTTTCCAGTCTATTATTTTCTACAGACTAACTGTTGCGTCATCTCAGTTATTAGATCGTATCACTGGATGTTCATAAAACATGACCAAATAGGTCAGACTGCTCATTCAGATAAGGAATCCACATTTTGTTTTCCATCTAAACAATCTGGATGAGAAATACGTCGAATTTATTTGATCTCATTATGGTGATAATCGTGTCAATCATCGTGGTGCTTTATGAACATCCGTTAATACTATCTAATAACTGGGATGAGGTAACACCAAACCTCTGCTAAAATAATGGATTGGAAACAACCAAACAATCAAAGGAGTTTGTGTTGGCAACAATAGTCTATTGGATTATTATCAGGCAACTATGTTGTACTTGCCATAAGTTAGAGGCACATTGTCAAGTTCCAATTCTTGTTCAAAAATATGATATTCATTGATGGATTAGTTTATCAGCTTGACATAAATATCCTCTGAATTACCGCTTGACATTTACATCTTATCTACGAGCTATGGCATCCTGCATTGGATCGTAAGTGCAGTATACTACGAGCACACGACAATGGTGATTACTGGTTGATGATCGCTGCATCACTTGGTGTGAAGAAAAGGACAACGAAGACATGGATAAGAAGACATCAAGAAGAACCGTCGGAATTCACCCACGGAGGAAGACGGTTCAACAAGTTATCGAATCGCCATGTAGAGGAACTCATTTCATGGATTGAGGAGAATCCGACTGTGACACTGTCCTTTCTACGGATGAAACTCAAGGCTGAATACGACAAAGAAGTTTCCATCACAACTATTAGCAACTATTTAGATGGGAAACTGATTACAATCAAAAAGATTCATCAAATACCAGTAACGATGAACTTACTGGATAATAAAGAGAAGAGGAAAAGGTAATGTAACTACCTGTTTTTGAGTCAGTTCTTCCTAGATGTGTTCAACACCTGTAATGGTACGAGGCATTCGGACATGAGATTATCTGGATTGATGAAACCAACTTCAAACTACATTGTTCAAGAAATTATGGGCGTGCACCAAGAGGTCAAAGGTGTCGGATACCAGTGGCCAGTTCAAGAGGAAGATATATGCACATCATAGGAACTATGAATGCTGATGGGTTGTTGAACTATATTCGGAAAAGAGGATCGTACAACTGCGTATTGCGTCTGCAATGGTTGCAAACGTTAGTTGATATTGCAACAAGAGCACAAATCATATGTGATTGTGTGTGAACAACGCACCTTGTCATTCCAAAGTAGAGGATGGCATGTTTGGAAAGCATTGTTAATGATGCCAAGTCTCATATCACGAAGGATAACTGTCAGCATGCAACTAACCATGTTCGTGTACATTATCCGACAGCTATCAAAATGCTTGATTTTTAATACATCTGATCTTTTTCTAATCACTGAACTTTTTTGTGAATGGGAGATTTAAGTCGGAAAGTTCTATCACTATTGGAGTCGATAGTCGATAGGTAGTTCGTAGACTTTAGGGCACGATTACAATTACAGCGTGTTGGTTATCCACTTTGCGTTTGTTGACAATTTAATACGGAACCAGTCCATCGGTAGGCAGTTTTCCAGGACACCTGGTATTTAAAGAGCAATCGAGGCAGAAAGTTCATGCATCGTTAAAACCGAACGATCATGTAAAAACAGTAGGCTAGGTTGAGCAGGTCAACATTTTGCTGATCGTTAGGGTGTGAATGGTACAAGCTATCAACCGTTGGAATCTATTCCAACGTTCCTGCACTGTTCATTGATTAGATAATCCTTGTGATGAAGTCACACTGATGTAAGTGATCGGAGACAGTGTCATTTGACGTCAAAATGTGCAAGTGCCTGTCGATCAGAGAGAAGCAGAATGTGTTGGAAATGCTGAAACAGCCAGGTGCAACTCAGAGCTCCG